CTTTAAAATTGTTAAAGTTTGTTTATTTATTTAAGTATTCTCTCCACCAAACGTGGGGCTCGAACTCATGACCCCAAGATCAAGAGTCACGTGCTCCTCTGAGCCAGCCAGGTGCCCCAGGTATATAATATTTTTAAACTAAATGCAGGGGCGCCTGGGTGGCGCAGTCGGTTAAGCGTCCGACTTCAGCCAGGTCACGATCTCGCGGTCCGTGAGTTCGAGCCCCGTGTCAGGCTCGCATCAGGCTCTGGGCTGATGGCTCAGAGCCTGGAGCCTGTTTCTGATTCTGTGTCTCCCTCTCTCTCTGCCCCTCCCCCGTTCATGCTCTGTCTCTCTCTGTCCCAAAAATAAATAAACGTTGAAAAAAAAATTAGAAACTAAATGCAGTAATGTTATATATACTGTTTTACGTCTTGTTTTTATTATTTCTCGTTCATTAGTATATCTTAGGCATCATCTTCCTTCCTTTGAACTGCTATATAATTGATTACTGGGAAGATATGACACCATTTATGTAATCAGTTTTCCACTGACATTTAGATAGCTTTCCATTTCTGCTCTTACAAGCATTGCCTTGTAGACCATTGTGGGGGCTTTTCCTCTGACTGAAGTGGAGAAGCACTGAAAAGTTTGGAGTAGAACAGGGACATGATCTAACTTATAGTTTAACAAGGTCTCATGTGCTACTGTACCAGATTGACACACACTTCATCAGCACTGGATAATACATTTTTAAGTCTTTGTCAACTGATAAGAAAAGTACAATCTCACCATTGCTTCATTTGGTATTCCTCTGTGGGTTTTTTTTTTTTTAAGTTTATTTATTTTTGAGAGAGAGAGAGAGAAAGAGCACAAGCAAGGGAGGGGCAGAGAGAGGGAGACACAGAATCCAAAGCAGGCTCCAGGCTGTCAGCACAGAGCCTGATGCAGGACTTGAACCCATGACCTGTGGGATCATGACCTGAGCTGAAGTCAGAAGCTTAACTGACTGAGCCACCCAACAACCCCCAGTTGGTATTCCTTTGTAAAATCAGATTGACAGTGAGTTTTTTTCTTAATTTTTTTAAAACATTTATTTATTTTTGAGACAGAGAGAGACAGTGTGAGTGGGGAAGGGGCAGAGAGAGGGAGATACAGAATCTGAAGCAGGCTCCAGGCTCTGAGCTGTCAGCACAGAGCCTGATGCGGGGCTTGAACTCACAAAGAGTGAGATCATGACCTGAGCTGAAATCAAACGCCCAACTGACTGAGCCACCCAGGCGCCCCAGATTGACAGTGAGTTTTACTTAATAGGCTGTTTCTCATTTGCTCAGTGGGGAGTTGTTAATCAGACTGGTGCTGTGTGGGTTCCTGTATGGCCACATTGAAGCCCTCTGATAGTGCCTGTCTGACTTCTCCTCTAGACCCCAGGCTCGTCCAGATGGGTCCTTGAGAAGGCCCAAGCCCTGACTCTGAACCACTACTAACCTGAAGTGTCACCACCTGCAAACTCCCTGCCTCAGGTAGGGCCCCAGCCACTGGTTTAAGGAGATGAAGTATTACACAGTGTTATGGGATGTTTTGGGACTTATTTTGCTTATTCCCACAGTGACAGCTGTGTGGTCATTTTTTGACCTCTTATACACAGTATTATATAAACAATTAAAACAATATAAACAAAAGGTCTTGGGCTGTGACACAGTTCAGTACCTGACAGATCCAAGTGCTGTTCCACAGGTTCCCACTGGACCTCTTACATCACCCCCACAGGTTTTATAAATGAGAAAGCTGACTTTGAGAGACCTTAGGAGACTTGCTCCTGTTCTGGCTTGTTCCTTTATCAGATGTTGTAAAGTAGTACCTGTAAGTCAAATTTGGCCCATTTCGTTTACATTTTAATATTTTAAAATTGCTTTACGTTGGAATGCCTATTGCTGGGTCATTCACTCTCTGTCCAGACACAGGCCTCATTACTCTCCACTGACTTTGAATAGAACTAATGTAACTTAATTTTATCCACCCAGGCACCAAAGGCATTTGATTTTGCAACCCCTGCCCAATCTTGTCTACTTTCCACTCTGAAACTGTTGGGTCAATAGCAGCTCCCGATGTAGCCCAGAAATAAACCAGCTTCAGCCAGAAACCCTCCACATCAGGCAAAAAATCCCATTCCCTCTTCCTCCTGTTCTAAAAGAACCACAGGAAAAGCCCTGAGATGCAGAGGGAAAGGAAAGGCCTCTGTGCTGTGCTGTCCAGTCTCTAAACCCTGCCTTCCTCGGTCCCTGATGTTACTATGAAGGGCAGAGCCAGAATGGCCGTATCTGTCCTGCCACCCTGTTCCAGGGAGAGTATCAAATGAGGCAGCTTTGTAGAACAAAGTATATCAATTTTTCTTCCTCAGCGGTCATGGTCTTTTTCCAGCACTTTGTCTCTAAAAGGACATAAACCTGGGGCGCCTGGGTGGCGCAGTCGGTTAAGCGTCCGACTTCAGCCAGGTCACGATCTCGCGGTCCGTGAGTTCGAGCCCCGCGTCAGGCTCTGGGCTGATGGCTCGGAGCCTGGAGCCTGTTTCCGATTCTGTGTCTCCCTCTCTCTCTGCCCCTCCCCCGTTCATGCTCTGTCTCTCTCTGTCCCAAAAATAAATAAACGTTAAATGCAGGGTAAGCTTTTCTAATAAAAAAAATAAATAAATAAATAATAAAATAAAAGGACATAAACCTATGTGAGTGGACATTTCCTCTGCACCCTCCTGAGCTCATGCGTAGCTCAGGTACCCTATCCCAGAGCATCTGCTCACTGGGATGTACTTTTTCATTCCATCAATAAATATACAGCCCACTGTCCTGGGCTCTGGGGATTGATTCAGTCATGAATAAGACAGGCAGGGTCCCTGTCCTCCTCTTAGAGCCATTAACTAGTAAGAGATTCAGAATGCTAATCAGGTGATCACACTTAGTACACAGTACAGTGTTGTCACAGTGGAATGCATGGGGACCGGCTGCCCCCCTAGCAGCCTATGATCTCCGGAAGAAGAATAACAACAGTACCAGACACTGTTGACGTGTTTTCCATATCGATTTACTTGATCTTCGTAACAGGCCTACCAAGCAGGTAGTGTCATTATCACCCTCATTTTACAGGGGAAGAGATTGCCCAAATTCACCGTGCCAGGACAGACAATGCTTCCACTCTTGGTTGAGCAGCAAACTTTTCTACAGCCTGGTGAATTTCCAAATGTGCCATAACCCCATGAGAACAAGACAGAAGGAACCAGATTCACCCCCCAGCAAGTGAGATTTAGGTTGGACACTAGAAAGAACTCCTTGGCAACAGTTAGTTATAAGTATATGAGAAAAATTGGGGCGCCTGGGTGGCTCATTTGGTAGATCCGCTGACTCTTGATTTCTGCTCAGGTCATGATCACAAGGTCGTGTGATCAAGCACCGTGTAGGGCTCCAGGCTGAGCGTGGAGCTTACTTAAGATTCTCTCTCTCTCTCCCTCCGTCCCTCTCCCCTGCTTTCTCTCTCTCTCTCTCTCTCTCTCTCTCTCTCTCTCAAAAAATAAATAAATACATAAAGCTTATGAGAAAAGGAATTCCTTTTCTGGGAATTTGCTTTTTTGAATTTTCTGTATGGCATAAATAACATTGTAAAAAATAGAGGAATTAATCTAGAAAAAAAAAGATCTCTCAAAATTCCACCTGTGAATTGGGTTCCTTTGTTCATCTTTCCAGGCCGCATGGAGACTGTGAGCTGGTGTGGGAGGAGAAGTAACTATATCCGGGGCTGCTTGCAGCAGCCTGAAGGCAAGGATGTGCTAACTAGCAGAGGTCAGCCCCCATCTCTCTGCTTCCACAGGGGGCAGGCACCCCTGTGTGTTTCAGCAGGGGAAGCTGGCTACCTTCTGACTCTGACAGGCCACTCTGGATAAAGTAGGGCAGGGGTGAGGCTGTGAGGGATTACCTGCTTTTTCAGATGAGAACAATCAAAACTGCATGCTCTCTAGTCCCCGGGGGAAACAGGGAGGGAGAAAGGAGCAATCAGCAATCCAGCAAAGCTAGGTGAATGATTAAAATGGCTTCCAGGTCAATGGGTAGGGTCATAAGTCCCCATTGCTTCACCCCACCTTCACTTCAGCAGCTCCAGCCATGAGCTGGAGGCATAATTCCTTGGGTATCTTGGGATGTCCCAGCTTGTTCTGGGGAGTTCTGTCAGTGCCCTCTCCCCCAAGGATTTCCCTCTGGCCTAATAAAATATTTTTTATGTGTGAAATACTTTAAGGTAGTTTGAAGTATTTTCCCCACATTCTCTCATATTTTACCTTATTTTTAAAGTTTATTTATTGAGAGAGAGAGAGAGAGAGAGAGAGAGAATGGTGGGGGAGGGGCAGAGAGAGAGACACAGAGAGAGACACAGAGAGAGACAGAGAGAGAGAGAGAGAGAGAGAATCCCAAGCAGGCTCCTCACTGCCAGCCCAGAGCCGGACTCAGTGCTTGAACCCATGAACTGTGAGATCATGACCGGAGCCTAAGCCGGATGCTTAACCGACTAAGCCACCCAGGGGCCCCTCTCATATTTTTAAATAAACTTGATTTCTTAGAGCAGTCTTAGGTTCACAGTGAAATTGAGCAGATACTCCCTAATTTTTAATTTTGATTCTCACGTCCACCCTACAAATAGAAGGGGTATTATCTCCACATTTACGTTACATTTAGACTCACAGTAACAGAGCCTGGTGTTAACTGAGGTCTTCTGATCTCTTAAGCCCCAGGTACTTTCTCTTGGT